GTGAAGCTTACCCTGTCAGTGTGCTGCCAAATAGGGCAGACATACATGTTTGTTTTCTAAACTACAGCATGTGCATACTTCAACATGGCTAATGTCAAGAGTTATTACAACTTAAATATTATTTAGACAGGAACATCCCAGCAGACTGACAGTCCTCAAGATTGGCAATGTTGGTTTAATAAAAACCCTAGGAAAGGTGTGAAGAAAGTGACTGGGAAACTTATCTTCACATTATTGTCACATTTAGATTTATATTCACATTTTTAGTTTCCTAATGCATAATCTATTATTATTTATTATTATTATCATTATCATTATCATTATTATCATTATCATTATCAACATTATCATCACTAATCAGCTTTATTATTATTATCATCATTGTTATTGTCATTGTTATTATTATCGTTATTATTATTATTATCAAATATTCAGTCTTAGTTACACATTTACACTGTTTTCCCATATAATTCATTTTGCTCAGAATGCAGCCCCTGCACCCGGCTACCCACCACAGCAAGGCGTACCACCACAGCAAGGCTACCCACCACAGCAAGGCTACCCACCACAGCAAGGCTACCCACCTCAGCCTGGCTACGCCCCTCAACCCGGCTACGCCCCTCAGCCCGGCTACCCTGCTGCCCAACCCGGATACGCACCCCAACCCGGATACGCACCCCAGCCTGGCTATGCACCCCAAGCTCAGAACCAGATGATGTCCAACACTGTTGTTGTGACGGCCCCACCAGCTGTCCAGCAGAGTACTGTAGTAGTCCACAACCAACAGTGAGTATGATGTCATTGTAGAGGGGCATCAGTTACTATGTGCAGAAGGGCCATAATTCGCTGACACCAGATTTTTAGAAAATATCGTTCATGGCTGTACATGTCTGCACACAGCAAACCTGTGGGCTTATCAAGAAATACCCCCTAGTCTCTTGGAGAATCTTCTTTGTGTGAGGGCGAAGTAAGATATTGACATTACCATATGGGGGAATGGATGGAAAATGCAAAGCATTACATAAAGCATTACTGTTGGTCATAAAGCTTGTGCTATGCCACTGCTGCCATTATCTTTTTACACCCCTTCCTTTGTTACTAGTATTTAATGTTTTTTATTCAACATGAAATAAATAAGAAGAATCTGAGGAAAGTTTAAAGACACTGTATCAAACATCCTTCATATTCTCTAATCAGAATTGTTTGGCACCTCTGTAGTGTGTGAACAAATGAAATTTTATCAAGATCTTTGTTTGTAATTTTTTTAATTGACACCCTACCAGTACCTTAATATTAATTATGTGCAGGAGGGTATTTCATAAAGCTGTTCGTAAAGTTACGCATGACTTTACGAACGACTTGTATATGAAGTACCAGATAGGATGCCCCCAAAAAAATTCTGATATTCCCAATAACCTCAATTAAATTATGGTAAAAAATATACTTTGCATTAAAAATGTTTGTCAATCTACATCTGCACAGTTCAACTTTAGTTGATGCAGTTAATAATGATTGAGCATCCCACTTGGCTTTTCATATACAAGTCGTTCGTAAAGTCATGCGTAACTTTACGAACAGCTTTATGAAACACCCCCAGGACAAATAACAAATATGAATTAACATGGAATGCCCTGATTGCCCTCATTATATTGAAAAAATTTGAATGAGAAGTTAGGATTAGATTTCAATTGGCCTGAACGGTATATACAGTACATGTACGTAGTACTAATGGGGCGTTGCAAGAAAGTCAAGAAAATCAAGCGTAAGTCTTGCGATTATTTGCAAATTTGCAATTGATCGCGACTCAACTTTCTTGCAACACCCATTAGTAAGAGAGAGAGAGAGAGAGAGAGGGGGGGGGGAATTAAAGCTTGATCTAGTTAACTTAAATTAATTGTTAAAAACTTTAATCCTAACAAAATCCAAGGAAATTTAGGAGACTAGTGGGGCTTGAAAGAAAGTTGACTTGCAATCGATTGCAAATATCAGTTGCAAATTTTGCAATCAATCGCAACTTTCTTGCAATGCCCCATAAGAGTCTTCAGCTGTAGTAACTGGAAAGAAAGTGGGCTACGTTTCATGAAACTGTCATTACTGCATGTACAAGTTCACTAACATCCCTTTAACAATTTTAAATGTCAGCGAACTTGTAGTAATGACAGTGTCATGAAACACAGCCCAGATTCTAACAAGATCCAACAAGTGTTATCTCCTGAGATTAAAGAGATCTTTTCTCATGTGATAACACGTTTCTCATTTGTCTTTTTTGTTTTCAGACGTCGCGGTGTGAACCATGTGTTGCATTGCATCATTACATTCTTCTTTTGGCCATGGGTATTCGTCTGGATCATCCTGGTGAGAAACATTCAGAAAAAAATATAATCATAATCATAATAATGGCCCAGTCTGAGAAAGTTAGGGTTGGTCTAAAACATGATAATATTGGATAATTTTATAGTGCTCATATCCCACACACTGAAGCCTCGTTCAGGTATGACGCGGCTAAACAGCTGCGTTATTTAAAAACATGACGTAAAATGTAACACGGTCAACCACATTCATTTCCTACCTAGACCAATTTATCCCATTGTGAACAGTGTCCATGTCTAGTAGTGTTTACAATGGCGGGGGAATAGTGCACACAGATATATGCACAGGGAACCAGGGTGCGCCTTAGTTCACAATGAGGAATTCCCATGAAAAAATAGCTAAGTGCAAAGTCGTATTAGAGCATAATCCAACCTTTGTGACATTTTGAGAATTCCTGGCAAAGAGAACAAAGTGCTCATTGAACCCTCAATAAATGCTGACCTGCTTACGATCAACAATTTCTTTTCTTCAATTCGATATCTAGTATATACACTTTAAATATGATACATGTAGTCTGATATTCTTTGCAGTGTGCATTTGATATGTTTGCTCTATCATAAAGTAATAAAATATAAATAAATACTTATGAGACTATGTTTTCATGGGGCTCTTCTTGGAACATTAGCTTTGCATTATACATTTCTCTTTTGTTAATCAATGGACGTTTACATGTGGATTGGAGTATAGACTAACATGGAGTTGGTACTGCATTATTGTGTAGTACTCTAATTATGATGGGTCTTTTTAAAAAGAAATTTTTAAAACTTATTAAAGTCTAAGTCAAATATAATTCAGATTTAGGCCACCTTTGTTTATTTTTTTTTCTATTCGTAAGACCTTTGTTAAGTTTTACACTGCAAAGTATGTTTCATGTTAAAAAGAAACATTAAAACCTTTGATCATACAAGTTGTATATAGGTCGGTTATATTTTTAGAATCCAATAAAGACTAATTAATAGATGTTTTCACACAGACTCGTTCACTAGTTTTCTTTTCATTACCGGTACTCATATATTATTGTGTAATTAGAATATAACAGTTCTAAAGTTCTCTAAATGTTTGCCGATTCGAGAAAGAAAAAAAAAGATTTATTCAAACTGACTTTTTTAAAATATTCATTCCACAGTGCATCACAGAGGGGGCTTAAAAACCCTGACTGGACATCTGAGAAACTCTGCTAAGACAAAGAGACGAGACACCACCTGATCATCTTTCACCTTTCACCTTTGAACTTTGACCTCTTTTGCCTGCATGCATCCAGCACTCTCTATTCTTCCAAGTTTGGTATGTGCTTTCAATCACCCCATGGTGTCTTGGAAAGAATAAATAGAAAAATGTCTTTTTGACTGGTTATAATTTCTTCCTATTTCTTATTTTCTTTAGTGCATACTGTTAAATACTGTATCATTACGACATGAGAGGTCTGTAAATAACAAATATACTGGGAATTCATGTGTAATTGAAATGGCTATTATTATTTTTTTATTTTAAGCCTTACTAAAAACCTACATGTTATTCAACAATTTGTATCCTCTTTTCTATTAGAACTGCCCATCAGCATTGAATTTGGGTCTGTTATTAATATACTAAAATTCATGTGTAATTGTAATGGCAATCTGTTATGAAAACCTACATGTTATTCAACAACTCATATCCTCTTTTCTATTAGAACTCCCCATCAGCATTAAATATGACTCATTGGTCAAACTACTTTGCCCGTTTTATTGTTTAGCACAATTTCCTTAGAATATATGTACACAGACTGTACATTTTAGTTAGTGTACAAATTATGCTTCTACTGTATATTGGGTGATTGTATGCTTTCACTTTCAGTTTCCATTACGTTAGTACTTAGCATGTGGGTGGGATGTGCCAGCATGTATAAAATATCCCTCTTCATGATGTTAGTGTAAATTGGAATTTAATACAGCCCTTGCCATTTGCTGCCAAATGAAGAACACTTTACTTATTAGATGCTGGTATGAAACATATCAATTTGCGTCTCGTGTGGTATATAGATTATACATATAAACAATTGTATGTACATGTGTCTGCCTATTAGAATTTATTATTTTCAGAATAATTGCCTCTGTTTTGTGCAAAAATATACCTGGTACATTGGCCAAAAGAGTCAAGATTATCAGTACCATCTTTATCCATGTTTGTTGCATTTGATGCTAGAGCAAGGTAAAAAGGACATCCTTAAATTGGCAAAATGTGGAAGTCTTCAAAAGGCTTTTCCCATGCAATAACACCTTGTTACTTTTAAAATTATGAAATAGCTTTATATGAGAAATAGGTTGCAATAAAAGACAATTGGAATTGTTGCCAATTTGAAGAAGAAAAGCTGAACCCATATTATTTTTTTCTGAATGAAAACTAAATATAAATACTTAAGGCTGAAATCCTATGAAGATGTTACAAATAACATCAAGGGAATGCTGACTCTATATTAAATACTCTTTTTTTTTAGTCCTATTTTGCATTTTTATTAAAATGGCCCTTTGCCCTTTACACATGTTCATCTAGGTCTTTTGAAAACTTGTTTCTTGGGATATTGAAAAATAGAAATGTTATTTGAAAATATATTTCTTTACCGTCCACCACTTTTTATTACCATCATCTAGCATCACCTTTTATAACATTTAAAGATGGTGTTATTGACAAAGTGTTAAAACTGCCATAATATTAATCTCATATTGAAAGCCACATGGATAATATTTGTATAAAGTGGATTGATCTTTGGGGCTTCTTGGCTGAAATTGAATATTACAAATAATTTGAAATCATTTTGTTTACCCCATTTATTGCAAATTTGCAGTCATACATTCAAGCATTCAGCATTACGAAACACTACCAAGAAATTGAAACTGAAGCATGTCAAGAAACGGCATCAAACTTCAATAATTTTGAAATATGATGTTGAATATTGAAGTGGATTTTGAAATATGGATTTATTAAATCTGCTTGATTTTAAGAGACCTCGGTTAGGCACAATCACTTTATTGTAGGATATTAATGGTATTCAGTACATGTGTGAGGTTGTGAATTTATTTTGTTGTATTGTTAAAAAATGGGTTCAGGTCAAATATACATTTACAAGTAGGTGGAGTCATTTGGGACCAAAGTCTAATCTTCTAGTTTATAAAGAAGTATTGTTATATCTTTATGGCTAAACATTATCTGACAACCCTGTAGTCACATATTTTATTAGCCTTTTTGTTATTTGCTACTGATATACAACTCATGTATTTGTTGTGTATTATTTTTTGCCTTCTATGTTTTTTTGTTTTCACTGTAATGCAATGTGAACAATTTAGAATTGTCACTAGGGAGACAGTACTATCCTATCAATTCAAAACAATCATGACAAAAAAACAATGTTATTATTAATACAAAATCATGTATTTTATGTAATGATTTTCAAAATCTGATAAATATTTTACCCTCTATGTCATGAAAATATCACCTTGCCAGTGATCATGCTTTGTTTGAGGAATTATGCCCTTCATCATATTAATAATTATAATAATAATATGTTTTCTTATGTTTAGGTTTAGGAATGTGTATAATATTTGTGATATAAGAGAGCTGAGACACAAGAGTACATGCCAACACTTATTATGCAATATATAACCTTATGAAGAGAGCACAATATGGCTGCACAATAATGCTTTAAAAGGGCTTTAAAAATTGTACTAAGAGTTCTGATTTGTACTTGTAGTTGCATCCTTTTCTATATTCTTATTTCTATGGTTTCGACTTGGTATAGATGAATGATTAAAACGATATGTTCCTCTCATTTATCTCACTACTTTGAGTAGGACCTACATATTTTACCTGTATGTGTGAAAGTCTATTCATAAACTGAATTCGGTAAACTACATATATACCTGATTAATGTTCATACTGATTAAGAAACATAGACAATTATTTCGAAGAAGATAGCTTTAGCAAGGGTCCCCCCCCCAAAAAAAAAGGATAGTAAAATAGAATATGGAATTAATGATATTAACTTTGTTGAATGTATCATGTTATTGCATGTATATTTAAAGGATGTTCTTAACATTTGTCAGAGAGTTAAGTCATTAAAAGTAATGGTTATTTTTCTCTTAAATTTATTTTTGATAATTATGTGAATATAATATGATATTTTTGTAGTGTAAGTCGTGTGTTAGTAATCTTTAAACAATCATTGTACTTTTGAATCACATGTACAAGGGAATCACCTCAAGCTCAATAAAATAATGATATTGTCATTTTGTGCCTTATGAAGGCGATGTAATAGCATTCAAACTGTAGTCTTTATTTTGGGTTTACTTTCAGTCACACATTAAAGAAATGACTTTTGTAAATCTGTTTTCTTTTGGGGTTTATGTTACAATTAAATGTGTATAAGTTGTGCGAGCTTTAATCAGCGTCTTGAATATATTTTACTTTTTTATTGATTGGTTTCATTATTCGCTGTATGTTTTACCTAATAGTTCATATGATGTACCTTTATTTACCCCATGATATTATGCTATTATGCATTTAATTCTGTACTTAATAGACCAACATCCCACAAGACTGAAAAATTCAGTACTTAAGGTGAAACTTTTTAAAAAGTTGTTTGATGGCCTACATTACCAACAATATCATTTGGTAGGCTGTGACAGCCTGTCAGCCTCATGTACTGTCCGACCCAGAGGCTATAGCTGTACTAAATTTAACAGGGATTGATTCTAGTATGGGCATAGGGGTGCAGGCATATTTTTGCATGGGGGTAGATGCCTTTTGCCCAAATACCAATACTGTACATTTTCTAAAAATTTCTACATACACATGTACGAGCAAAGCAAGTCACAAAATTTGAGACACTTTTTTTAATAAATAAAATGACATAGAAATTGTGTATCTGGGCACCTCATTTTATTTTAGCATCTCAATGCCCAAATATTAGGATATTCAAGCACCTTACTGCCTGAATATGAGATGGTGGTTGCATCAAAAAAAAAATATTGGATCTTTGAAAATCCTGGGGGAGATGAGGGGTCTACAGCCCCCCCCCCCCCCTCCCAACCTCCTATGCCCACACGTATGCGTATAATTGTTGTCTCCTGTGCCAGTCCCCTCTGTAATTGTACATTTTGTATGCATTCCAATTATCATTTGTTTGTGGCATTTTATCAACTCAAGAATAATTTGTACATTCAAAAAATTTCGAATCACGTAGTACAGTAGTACAAACAAGTTTTGTCAAACAACACAATACACGTGTTTTTATGCAATTTATATTTTTTCAATAGTGGTAATAGTGGTGTGAGAATTTTCTTTGAATTAATTATAGTGTAAGAATTTCTTGATTTATATGTACTATTATGTTATTCAAGATGTGAGCACATGCTGTGTTGTAGGACAATTGTCAAGATATTAATGAATGAAGTTGCATTAACGCAACTCTTTGAAATAAATATATTTCCACTACTCTGAACATGTGTCTCAAATCGTGTTTTTCTTCAGATGTTTTTGCACATATAAATGTAATTCAATTAACAATTTTCAGACCATTACCATAAGGCATATGGAACATAATTATGCTGGATATGTACCCCCCCCCCCAAATTCATTGCATCGTGTTTACCTTTATCAGATGCATATCGGTCAGGGGTGTATGAACAAAATTAAATAGAGCAAAGCCCAACCTAGTCTAGTTCTGGACTCGTTTGTATATTCTTGTATTCGCCGACTATACGCGTTAAGCCGAGTGATGGCGCGATCTCGAGAACTGATATAAAAAAAGTCAGAACTAAACCATGGACCTACTACATGACTAAACTAAGCTAGCCGAACCCAGCGTTGAATCTTTCCGTTTCTTATATTGCTTTTCGCCCTCTATTGTTGATAAACTCGTTTACAATGAGATTGATAAAGAAGGTCAAACATCGCATTAATAAAACATTTTTTTTTAAAGATCTTTGAAAATAATGGCATATTGGTTAAAGGCAGAGGTGGTGCTCCGGGGAGGGTGACCCAGTGCCCCTTTTTTCCTTCTGATAAATACCCCCCTTTAACCCTTGTAAGTTGTCCCTATCACAATGATGCTAGATGCTCCTTTTCCTTTATAATTATTGCCCCTTTTCCAATCTAATAAATGCCCTTTTTCATCTCTGGTGGGTGCCTCTTTTCATATGCGATAAATGCCCCTATTCACCTGTGATATTTGCCCTTTTTTCACTTTCACACATGCCCGTTTTTCTTTCTAATAAGTGCCCTTTTTCCCTTCTGATTAGTGTCATTTTCCCTTTTTAATAAGGACCCCTTCTCTCTCTCTTAAATGCCTCTTTTCATATTTGATAAGTGCCCCTTTTATTTTGACATACCCCTTGTCCTTTTTATAAGTACCCCATTTCCTGTGGATAAGTGCCCATTTTCCTTTTTTATATGAGCCCCTTCCCCTTTCCATAAATGACCCTAATAAAATCTGATATGTGCCCCTTTTCCTTCGACAGATGTGTGTGTATTGGGTTTTTACAGACGTGTATCAATCAGATATGATTATTTACGTCTGGGACCGACCTTTAAACGTCACCATCCGAAAGACGTGACTCAGTTTCGAGCCTGCGTCCTCAGCTGAATCAGTTTGTAACTTCCACTTTTTAGCTGGATTACAGGCGCACGCCACAACGCCTAGTTGTTCCTTTTCCATTTATATAAGACTATAGTGCCTTTTATCATATCTGGTGAATGTACATTTTCACCTGTGATAATTGTCCTTTTTACTTTGTTATTGACACGTACACCTTTTTTTCTTCTTACAAATGTCCTTTTCCCTTCTGATAAGTGCCCCCTTTTCATTTCTCCATAAAAGGCGCCTCTTATTTAAGCGATTTAGAGTCATTTCTTTTTTAAGCAATGCTCGCTCTCTAGCATTTTATAATTATGTTTCTTATTAAAGGTCTTTTCAGTCTTTCATGATTAGATCAGGCTCGAACAATTTTTCTCACTGTGACTCATAAATCTTTAAACAATTTCTCGCTCCCTTTGCTCGCTCGCAAATTCAGACCAACACCAACAGCAAGGTACGAGGCTTAAAACAGTATTTTGGACTGTGTAAAGAGATTAAAAATATGTAATCACAATCGTGACAATGTAGGGGTAATTATATGTCTAAAAATGGTATATGTTTCCTTTGAGGTTTCTATTTGTAGGTGCCCCTTTTTTCCAGAAAGTGCCCTTTTGTTGGTGCCCCCTACTTTAAAGGACACCCCAACGCCCCTGTTTAAAGGGGATGACACAATGCACGTCCAACCCTCGTTAAATGATGTGTGTGTGTGTGTGTGTGTGAGAGAGAGAGAGAGAGATAGAGAGAGAGAGAAGGGAGAATAACGGAAATAATAGAGAAGATTCTGCTAGCTTGCTTTGCTTAAATTATTGTCACCCTAAAAACCTTTATATTTTTGTTTTAATCCTTTACCTTGATATTCTGATTCTTTCTAATATATGCCATGTCATAATATCGTTTATCTCGGATATGGGGTATATCCCGGCGCCTTGGTGATATTGCAATCATATAGCTTCAAAGGTACTAATATGATATATTTAGATATATAATTATTGAAGAAAAAAATCTAAAGGTTACGGAACGTAGGGATATGTACATGTATAAATAGGATCATACACTTACTTCCAAATATCTAGTAAATGGTGTGCAATGTGGTAGCTGGATTCGCAGGGTCTTGGAAGAACATGAAAGAAAATGACCCCTATATGATACAAATAAATGGACCCTTAAATCAATTTGTATTTTTCATCATCTTCTCTCTCCCCTCTCCCAGCTCTCCCTCTCTCTCTCTCTCTCTCTCTCTCTCTCTCTCTCTCTCTCTCTCTCTCTCTCTCTCATGCACACTCTCATCCTCTCTCCTTTTCAGTATCTTTCCCCCTCTCCTACTCTCAATTGCTATCTCTCTACTTCTCCTCCCCCATCTCTCTACCTCAAGCTCGTATTCTTCACAACACTTTTTTTTATTTGAAAACCTTAACTTTAATCTCTCTGTATTTACATATATATAGTTCAAGTAAAAGGATATGTACAACACAATCTGACAAAATGTCCACATAGTCATAATGCAAATTTACATTTCACGATAACATAATAAATCTCTCTATATATAATATGATAACATATATATTATCAAGAATACTTCTTCGTTATTTGAACATATAGAGAAGAAGCATTACAAGCAGTAAAAGCATCGTCACTGATCCATAGTAAAACATTAACTCACCATGCTGGCAATAACGTTTTGGGTCACTCTATCAATGAAGAAGATTATCTCCGTGAAAGCAAATGAGAACCCGCTACCTTAAAGGCACACTGTCCTACTTGTAGCTACTTGCTCCCTCTATATAGAAAACTTCCCCAATCGGTGCCTGTTGGTCCCCCATGATCCTCTTTTTCTTATGTTAAATGAGAGCTGAGTTAATGAGATAGCCACCTGTCACAGTGACCTCGCTGGCTTGCTGTGTGGTCTAATCCCTTCTGACTGAAGTAGTAAAGCCTCCCTTTAAAATTATTTGTCTATATTCTTAATACGATCCATATCACGCTTTAAATTACCTTCTCGCCGTTCATTACAGAGTTTAAAATCCTAGTCGATATCACCCTCCATTCTAACTATAATTATGAACTCGACCAACTGTACAGTTTCTGAGATGTTATCAAAAAAATTAACTCCACCTACAAGCATGTCACTCGAAATTTCATACGAAAAAACGATTCTCCACCACAACCCCAAACAAAATTCTCCATTCTCTTGGACTACAAAAGAGAAGGAAAAAAATCTTTCATTATACCCTTCTTAATTTAAAACTTCCATCAACGGTCAAGCATTCAACACTGTTATCTTATTCAACTTTCATTACAAAATTGTAGAATATCCAGTAAATATAAGAGATGTTTTGTCTTTTACATCCTTTTTTTTATCAAGTTAAGTTGTTTTATATTAATAAGTACATTAAAAGTAATTACAGTTCATTAGGAGTATGAAAGAAACAATAATCGCCATGTTAGATGTTATACGTCATTAACCAGCTCTCGTTAGGAAATGATCGAGCTTGAAATGTTTCGAGCAAGAAAGCAACCAAGGTTCAAAGTGATTTCCCGAATTATTGTTTTCCGAGAACAAAATGTCGTTGCCATGGTGTCCGCTTTCCACTCTCATGATGTGACAAGGGAAGACTATCATCATTTAAGAATCTTATTCTGACATGTATTCGGCATCGTATTGAGGTATTTCTTTACTACGACCTATCTGAAACGGACCGGAATGCCTTCTTGATTCTAATGGGTTAGTAGCGTCACTAGGCAGAGGACTAATGATGTATCGTTGGCCTATCATTGGTGCTTCTGATGCAGCGCCGCGATCACTGATCACGGCTCCTCCACCGCGAGCCCAGCATAACCTCATCATGTCTTGAATGTCAGTGATGTCGGCTTTGGCGCGCGCCATTTCCTCGCGAGTATCTCGGAGTTCGTCCTGCAGCTCCTCAACGGCGCGTTCAAGACTGTTGACGCGTCGACATCGTCCATGCGGTCTCGCGGCGACGTCATCAACCTCTGGTAATATCGTTTCGCAAGTAATCTTCGTTTCCATGCAGATTCCTTCACAGGAATGGCTTTTTCCGATGTCTTTCAGCATGGCGGCCTTCCGCCTTGATACGTTCATCGGTTTCACCTTTGAGCCTGTGTTAGACGGCGTCACTGGGGCAGGACATGCGAACACGACCTCCGTTCCATCTACCTCGTCGCCGATGAATCGGACCTTTGGCTGTGATCCTTGGAAGGTGGAAGACGTTTTATTCGGTACAGGTGCAGAGTTTATAACCCAGTCTTTCGTACGAGCTTGAGTGTCCAGTTGACCAGGGCTGGACGTTTGGACATGGTATTTCTCGACATCAAACCCGAAATCATGAGGAGGGTAACAGGGTACAATGGCTGCTGCACTCCTGTCTACACACGCGGCCGTGCCTGAATGATGTGGGGTGTTTTGAAGCAGCTCGGTTCGCATAGATCCCAACGGAGCAGGCCTTCTCTCATCCATATTCGGATCTTCACCTGAAAGTGAACGCAGGTAAGAATTGTAAACAAGAAATTGTGGAAGTTTGGGGACTGAGTAAAAATCTAATCTATTTTTGTTTTAGCTCCCAGGGAACAGGGCAGACGTGACAGGCGACATACTTCCTCTTAGCATTTGTTGTTATGCTTGGCGAGGATAAAATCAGGGAAATTCCCTGAATTCGCAGGGTTATCACTGAAAGCAACACTTTTACGACACACAATGAAAAAGACAATTTATTTACACTCGCCCATTCAGTCAAACTGAACACGACAGCGAAGAAACACAAAGAACATAATTTATATCCTAACTTGTTTATGCAATGTACTCTTTTAAGTATTGTTCCACTATTTCTTTTAATACAATGTGTATATCAAAAGAAAAACAATCATATTAAATTTTGTGATAATAAGTTCATATTTGAAGTATTGAAAATTATGCTAATGCAATCTAGATGAAGACAATAATGTGAATAATCATTACGGCCTCAAGCTAATAAATAACAGAAAGGGGTCATAGAGGTACATAGACAGACAGACATATAAACTACAATGGGAGAAAGAGCGAACGAAAGAGAGGGGAGAGGAGAGAGAGAGAGAGAGAGAGAGAGAGAGAGAAGGAATACGTAAATATGCACAAAATAATGATTAATATAAAAACAAATCTTCAACTTACTTGATCGCGAGAGTCTCTCGTATCTCAGCCGCTTCGAGATGATGTGATGGCCGGCGATCTCCGCTTCGTCCACGGCGGTCCTCCCCTTCGAGTTGATGATCGTAGTGTCTATCCCGGCAGCGAGGAGGAGTAAGATGACCCTATGGTGACCTCTAAAAGCTGCTAGATGAAGAGCAGTGTCTCCATACTGTGTCTGGGTGTTAATGGGTGCTTTCTGCTCGAGAAGAAGTCTGTAAAAAAAATGAAATTAAGACAACAATCAGCTACCAGTTAATGAACGGCAGTAATTCTATTCTTTGTTTGTTCTTGTTTAAGATTCGTACGTATTATTAGTCGGCAGCACATTTTATTATCATGATTATAATATAGCTTTCAGATGGTGTGCCCGTTTTGTGACGACTTTACAAGAAAAAAAGAAAAAGAGAATGGGTTCAATAATACCCCCCAGTCACATCCATGAGACAAAACAACAACAGTAACAGTAACAAAATCATAGGTACTTGAGACCAGGATGATAGATTCATTTTTAAAAAGCACATCTTCAATTCTTATATACTTGAAATAATAAGTTGTAAGGACGATGACATTACCCAGTTTGATAAACTATTTTTGTTTAAAGAAAAGAAAATAAATTGAAAATTGAAAGAAAGATGCCCGGGCATATTTTTAAAAGCCAACCCCTGGGTAGATATTCAACCACTTCGTGACTTAGGGAAGAATGTCGACAGTATCCGTATCCTTGTTTTTGTTCCGATTCCACAAATTGCGTTCTGATGAATCATAAATAAATGTAACACTTTATTGTGAAAGGTGCATGATTTTTTTTCTTCTGGGGGCGGGGGGGGGGGGTAACAAAAGAAAGGCTCCGGGGCCTACGTTCCCGGGTACACGATGATTAGGGGACCTGCTGTATATTTGTAATGAATGAGAATTCAAGAAGCGTATAGGAAAATTGAAGATCCGTGTTTGTTGCGATTTTTAATGTAATTAAGTTCCATTGTCAGGTGTTTTACCCATTCCAATTCGCTTTTATCTGATTAAAATTTGATGATTCCGGAAAAAAAGGGAGAGAAATTGAAGGGTTTTCTTGAGAAGTCACATTGTCGGCACCTTGTTAAAACTACCTTAATTTATCATTACTCATAATTCTGCGAGTTGTTGTAATACTTGGTCGTTTGTTTCTTTGTGGGTTTTTGTGGTTTTTTTCTTGTTGTAGTGTGAAAAAATGAGTATGTGTTCTGATCGTGGTATATGGATCACCTTTTCGTACCTTTTTCTTTTGCCGGGTAACTTCAATAAAATGTTTATCGATGTGTATTTATCACTACAAACGATCGGCTTGTTACCCTGAACTTTGTTTTATTACGACTAACTAAATATTAAAGGAATCATAGTTGCACTTTATATTGAGCTGGCTTTTATGAAATATCTAAAAACTCGCTTACTCTCAATATTTAAAAAAATATATATATAATAAGTAATGTCTATATACTCATATTTAGAGATATTTAGTGTTGTGATTTTAATTTAGGCTTACATCTCGCCCCCCCCCCCCCCCAGCAATACACACCATTTTTTCATTGTTAAAAATCATTCTATTTTTGTCAAGCAAACAGTGCATTATAAGCATGACTTCTGCTATAGTTTCTACGGGTCGTCGGATTTAGGAATTTTTTTTTCTCTCTCCGAATTCGGGATATCCGGGTCACTGAGTTGCATGGAGGTGATACTATGGGAAAAGAGTACAGATTCTTTTCTTTGTGGAAGATATTCGGTCATAAAGGCTCAATAGAATGATGACTTAATACAAGCTGCGAAAAATAATAAATAAATGAAAAATAACGATAATAGAATGCAGTCACATTTAGTTGATCGTTCACTGGAACTGGGACCCTGACTAATTTATCCCAAGAATACCGAATGTTATATACTGGTCATGTATTACGAGGCCCCATTATATTAATGTATTTTTTGTATTAAATTAATAAGAGAGGAAAAGAGAAATAAAGGGCAGGATGGACAGGGATATATATAGAGAGAGAGAGGGAGAAAGAGAGAGAGAGAGAGAGAGAGAGAGGGAGAAAGAGAGAGAGAGAGAGAGAGAGAGAGAGGGAGAGAGAGAGAGAGGGGGGGTAGGAAGGGGATAGAATATTACAAAATAGGTAAAAGCTTAAAGGTAAAGACCAGTTATGGTCATGCGATTGCATTGTGAAAGAAACGTTGTGGAATCGATCAGAAAAGGTTGATCATCTAGCATCTAGCATCTGCAAGGTTCTGGAATCATCAAAATGATAAGAAATTTGGCCCATTCTTCGTAAAGTTACAAGCACTATACACAGAAAGATGTATATGGGACTACCCTATATCTCTCACAGACCATGAGAGAAACAAATTTACCAAATATATGAATTAGTAGGCGGTTTCCCGGCAATTTTTTTATCATCATGTATTTGGGTAAAACATATTCTTTCACATGATTGGAAATGAGAGCTTCCATTTCATTTTTTGAAATTGGGGCGTTTCCAATACTGGTCTTTACCTTTAAGGTCCCAGGTAATTGTTTTAAATCTAAAAAGTACAGGTCATGTGCGGTTTCGCGTTATAATCGGAAAGAGGATATGTCTACCAATTCAATATTTACTTTGAAAAAGTTCCTTTTCAAGCTTTTCATCCAGGTATTCCAATATATCGAAATACATATAAAAAGAGAAAGAATGGCATGTAAAGGCAAACATTACGCTATCCGGTATTTGTTTATAAATTCTTAAAATTTATTATGAAATGCAAAATAAAACGCGAAACCAGGCGATCGCGAGAACAATGGAGATGATGGTTATGATGGTGATGATGACGACCATGATGATGAATACGATCATGACAGTCAGTACTGTGAGGAAAAAATACTGGAAGACGGATAGGGGAACCGCACAATATGAGAATAATAACAAATAAAAAAGGGGAATTATGTGGTGTCTGCTAAATTCTTAGGAAATAAGAGCATCCGTGAAAAGGGCGATATCGTACATCCTCTAGCAGCGGAAAATAGTTGATAAGTACACTTCCCATGCGGTACACATAGCTATATCCTATCCCTTAAGGGTCCTCGTACCCCCACGCGATCCTGCAGCAAAATGATGGAGGTGCGATTTAATTTAGATCACAATGTCAACAAGCCTAGGACAGGTTTGTCTAAATTCCCACACCCACACTGCATGTGTTGAGTGTTTGTTCTGATGTTATCTTTATAAATGATTTTTTTGTGAGACTGAATTTGAAGCGTCTTTTCCCAATGATTTATCAATATTTGTATAATGCTAGTAAAATTTACAACGCGGCAGTAACTTTGATAGTTTACCCCTGACCCCCAGAAATGACAACCCTACCCCATACGTATCTATAGTGTAGCTATCAGCAACCTTGGTAAACGTCATAAAGTTATCATTTTTTCAAGATCATGGTAGGATTTGTGTTATTTGGTTAGTTCTATGCCATGTTACATGTGCTTTATTTCCATTATTTGTCCTCTTTTTGGGAGGTCACTTATTTCTTAATTCGTATACATGATATTGTTGAACGAAAGAACCCACATCCAAAACATCAACAAAACAAAATAAAATCCTAGTAGGAACAGATTATAACCAAATTACATTAATGTATCTTTTTAAATAAGTAATCGATTTTTTAATTTGAATGCTATCGAATACATCATAGTAAACAAACAATAAAACTAATCAATGGGCACACTGGCATATTATCGAGTACGTGCATGTGCGATATCAATTGGCACTGAAGAAAGAAAATAGATTATATATTATTTATACTACACCCCTTAAGAATGGAATAGTCGAATTGAGAATGCGCATCACAGACATGAGACAAACAATTAAACATTAAATTTAATTATCAATCATTGAATAATATCAGTTTTCCCTTAATAAACAGATCATTTTCTTTACATTTTGGGTAATGTCTTTTTTTATATTCTAAGTTCAATCACTCATGCATTGCAAACATTTTACACAGCATCTTTACTGCAGACCAGAAACATGATATTTTCTTTCTTCGTATTATTATCATCATCAAACACTATATTAGTTGCATGACCATTTTGGTTCTATTCGACCAGAGAATTAGCACTTCTCTGATCTGACCTTGCATAAGAATGCAACATGTTGATCAAGTTGAAATGCGAAACCCGGACTTTCCCTTTTTTTTACCAATGCCGGCAAGGACAGCGAATTCATTAATGAGTGCCAATTAATCACTTTACTTAAACCGTGTTAATTGTCCAATTGAATCAATTGCATGTATCGAAACCCCTCTCGTTTTTTTCGATGACACTTCGAGGGTCCGCCAGAAAAATCTCGGCCTTCAGAAAATCGGCAGACGGCCCGTGGACCGATATTTTCGGTCTCGTGGGCTATAACTTCTAGAGCTTGTCTGCATGTGATCGGTTTACAATGATGTATGTCATAATTGAACAATTCCTCAAATATCATCAATTTCGTAAATAAGATTTATCAATGTTATGAAATGCATTATGTTTTTTGTCAGATTGACACTTTGTGTTTCTTTTCTACGTGTATAATTAAAACAAGAAAAAGTAAATGACTTAGCTCAAATTTTATCCATTGGTATAGGTCTACATCGGGAGAAAGAAACGAAACGTTTATGCTTTATATAGGCCTATGGCTCTATGCATTTACAGGGAATGAAATTATTATATTTTTTTTCTTGAGTTAGCCTATTCTTATTTTACGATCTATAGGCTCATCATTTTGTAATATTCCCATGTCTCGTATTCGTACAATAACATTTTCCTCACTTTTACTATGGATATTCGTGTAATTATGTTTCTCAGTGTTGTACTATTTTGGTAGCCCTACATTATTAAATGTTACTTTTAAGAAAGTAGTCTTGCCAAAAGCAATGCAATTTTATTCAATTATTTAATTATTTCCTGTACACCTGTAATGGGCTGATAAAGGGAACACTTATGATACGTAATAGGATATGAATCCGTATGTCTTGGGAGTCCAAGCAACAAACAATAACAAGTTATCTGAACAAACATCTCAGATCTGTTAAAATTAATGTTTGATGATGATATTGTGTAGGCTACTGTAAGTTCTTTAAATAGATCCATCAAAATAATCACTGAAATAGATTAAATCAAAGTCAAATGAGATTCTTACTTGATGATCGAATCGTAGCCCCTCTCAGCCGCAGCGTGGAGTCCCGACGCACCCCAGCTAGTCGTCACGTCTACCCGAGCTCCCCGGTTGAGCAGCCAACGTACCACGCCGGTGTAACCCCGTACGCTGGCGACGAAAAGAGGTGTTTCGTGGCTCTGAGGGGCCTGGTAGTTGACCAGCTTACGACAAATGGGAGAATATGTCAGGAGACGCTGGATTTCACCAACATCGTTCGCCTGCACGGCTAGCAGAAGCGAATTCATCGTCTGCGATGAGCATCAATTTGCACGTACGATGGCTGGCTTGGGAGATCGTTCTAATCGCGATTTCAGAAAATGACAACAGAGTTTGTCGTCTGCTGTGTTTAGTCACGTGATCTTCTAACAGCTGCGCAGTCGTCGTTTCTTGTTCCAGAGCCTGCATGTATAGAACAATATTATCAAAAATTAAAAAGGTGTCCTTAACACGTACATCTCTTCGTAGCGCTATGGTACTTAGATTAAAACCCACCTCTTCAAATTAGCAGTTTGCAGTTCTGCATTAAAAATCGAGATTGTCGTTACAATGCCAGCGGTGTGGTGTAATACACATTCTGTTGAAAACAATGTGTTTTGCATGTCATCGCTTGTCATACTCATGCACCGAATATTTCACAGGTTAAAAGCTAGAGTCGATAGACGCGTAGGCGTTTTCACAATGTGTGACGAACTCTGAGAAAACATTCCATATTGTAATAGTTATTCGAGTGCATTCAATGAATAATGGCGGATAAAGAAGAAAGGAAGGTTTTGAAAGCAGATCCTACGGATGTTGCAGACAATGACGAGTTTTAGCTGAAACGACTGAAGTATCAATTCCCAATTCCGCTTTTCGTAGAATCATGATTACTCAAACTAGTTTAGTAATAGTGCCTGTCAAAAAGGAAAGTGAAATTTAGTTGAATTTTAGCAATTACAAAATCATGCACGCGTGCGTTGATTATGTCATTTTATCACGAGACAATCACGTCAAAAAGGTGAGATACTTTACGGTATTACAATGATACTAATTATACAAAATAATTGCGAAAGTCTATAAGAGTATTGAAAAATATATCCGTTTCAATAGTTTTTATTATGTCCCGTTAATTTTGATTGAGATTTACAGATTTTACACCTGTCCAGTGGCAGTGATTTAGGCTCAATTGCTTTTTTTAAACAGAGTTAACTATCATACTGTGATCCAGATATCTCTATAGAACATTGAACAATGCGCAGAAATTTTTGTGATGTGCATTAAAATCAGCAAGAAAATGCGCTATTTACTTTGTTGATTTAATTATTGAATCAGAATGAAATCAATCGAGTCAACAAGAATATCACAGTTTTGTAACCGACTCTAATTTGATCTGCTATCCCTCATTGTATATTACCTGCCATCATAGCAATAACATCTACCACGACGAAAAATAAAAGGATATTATGTTTCAAAGTATCATTTTGGGACGGACTATAGGTTATGTATCTTGTTACAATGATAATCATCAAATTGCTTTGAACACTTACCAGCACTTGTCACAGATGACGTCTATTCTTCAGTCCACTTAGCGCATAAAAAGTTCCACATAAGTATCATTACTTCGTGTAAATCACAACACATACCACTCAACAGTACTTGTCACAGATGATGCAATTCTTCAGTCCAATATAGCGCATAAAAAGTTCCACATATTAGTATCATTACTTCGTGTAAATCACATCACATACAACTCAACAGCGCATTGTGAAGAAGGAAAAAAAGCCTGAGAGTGTAATGTTTACCGATCAATTCAGAAGAGTTTTTAAATTGTTGCAAAATCAAATCAAATCCATGCAAGCCTGGGTTTCAATAATGCAATACGCAAGAGTGACAGAAGTGCAACAGTGCTTTCCTAATTATATGCAAGTCCATCAAACCGCAGGGTTTTAATGATGTTCCGCTTTACCCCGAAAGTGGACAATCTAGCGTTTTTGTTGGACTGTCGATTTCACTATGAAGTAATCTCTGACCAAAAAAAAAATGATTCTGGCGCAATTGTTTCTGAAGTAGTAAACTGGCGAAGGACAAAACGTCAACAATAAATTGGCCGACCTCATTTCATTAGCTAGCAGTATTCCATTGTGCACCTTGAAATTATACAGTGACAGTTCAATAATTAGCACAGCAGAACAGCTCCATCATTTACATTTTTAGGAAATGAATTCACGTTTTTACTCAGTCTTTGGTCTGGAAATGTTGCGATGAGAAAAGGATGCGTTTGTTTTCGTCACAAACAATGTCGGTTTAGCCGGGAAATCAGAGTTTGCATATCATGCAAATCCGCGTGCTTTGAATACCAGAAAATAAAAGAATAATACACCAAGGGTCAACTAGATACGGGGAAATATAGACCATGCATGACGAGGAAGTGCGGGCACAGTTTTGTATCCTTTTCGGTAGACACTTTGTTTATTGTCATGTGCTCTTAGAATAGGCCTACGACCCTATAGCTGCACCTGACAGTTTGGTCACCGGGTAGTTTCCCCTATTTTCCCCATGACTATTTACGGGATATGTCCGAAGTCCATGAGTGTATTCCACTGTGAGGTCTAATCCGAGTCTTCTGCGCGGTTTTTTACTATGCATGTGACCGTATACAAAATTAAGAGGGGAAAAAGGTACTACCGTAAAGAAGATTAAGAAAAAGGAAAGTAACTGAAATGAACATGATTAGACAAGAATTATATACTCAGAGGAATTATACAAATTATCGAAAAATAGGCCTAGTGGCTAATAGAGAATTTATTTTGGTTTATGATTTGTATGCCTACAATTACATTTCGAATAGCTTTAAGGCTCAAAACTGCAATATAGTTGAGGGAATAGAACAACGTAGGGGGTTAGAAACTAATGTAAAGTTATGTTTTGGGTTTAATTCATTGTTTCTTCCTCTTTATAGTTAATCCTTGGTTCGGAAGGGAGGAAACTCTGGATCATCTATTCTTTATGAGCACATACATATTGTTTTATCAAATAAAATCACAGGTTGTTCTCTTTTTCCTATCTCTCTCTCTTCGTTTTTGTCTCGAGATTCCCCTCGTGTTTTGATCATTTTATCTCGAAAACGAGAACAAACAGTGAAACAAATTAAGAACAATTAATTTGTATACAAAACAATGATTATCTATTAGAGTTAAGTTTAAGCATAGACCTAGGAAACATAATTCATGCATGGTTTGTTCAATTATTTTTGGAACAAGAAATTCCGAATTCAATGTCATGCCCCTGGCAATACTAGTGTGATCATCTACCTGGAACTACTTACCGAGGCATGTGCTTCATGATTATTAAGAGGGGTTGAGAAAAAAGGATTGAGGGTGATAAAGAGGGAAATAGACAGCTTTATATTAAGTCAGCCCTGTATACACGGTAATATTGGCCAACATTTCCTACAGTCAATATCGCTACGATATGCCTCTATCACTTCTGCATGGGAATAGCAAAAACAAAATATTTGGGTAAAGTTTAGGGGAAAATTATCCGTAGACCGCTTTCCATTTTCCCATTTACCTTTTGACAGCTTTCCCATAGAGCGAAAAGACTTTTTTTTAATTGCAACCCTATTGTACACACATGTTTGTAACGATCAGCAGGGATTTTCATTTCCCCTAAAACATCCCGTTCGCTGTGCGACGCTCAGAAAACGAGTAGGGAAATTCCCGAAAGGTAATGATTACGTCACTCTATGAAAGGTTAAACCAAAGTGCGCGTGCGCTGCAATGACGCAGAGAATAGTCTACAAGCACAGACCAATAGACGATTTCTCATGGCCGCTCTAAGAATACTATAGGCATACACAGGATAGTTTGTCACATGGGGAGCAAGAGATGGATGGTGAAGGGGGGGGGGGGGGGAGGGGGGATCGGGGTAATATAAACTCTACCATTGAAATACTTGGCTATAAAGAAAACTATTAAATCTGACCTTTAATAATATTGTGTGCAGTGAATATTTTATAGTTTTTGTTTTTGTTCGACGAAAGAAATGCCACCGCATGCGCCGCTTATTTCACAGAGCGTAACGATCGACAACCGACAACCAAGGGGGTGATTCGGGGAGGTGGGGTGTAGGTGGTCAGTTTCTAGTGTCCATTTTTTAAATAATAACTTTGGTTTTATTTCAATTAGTGTGAATTCTACAGAGCATCATGACCCCTACCCAATCCTGAAGAGGATTGGACGCCGACTGCTAACAACCCACACCGCTGTAAGCACTCCAGTGTGTCTGCATAGCAACAACTGTGAATAAAACTATATACAGGTGAATTATTTTAAGCCACATTGTAGAGGAAGATACATGTTTGTATTTACGTGCACACGCACTGATTCCTATCGTTGACCAAGTCCTTTGTCTTTAGGTTCCAATGGGAAGTTTTCTCGTCGTTTCTAGGTGAATAAATCGTCTGGTAAACAAATAAGTTAACTAAGTATAACAGATAACCACCAAGAGGTTTATCCCTAAACCGTAGTGTCGAAATATTTTCAATCCAACAGCAATCCATGTTCGGTATCTCAAGGATATTTTGTGTTTCGTTTGTCGTTTTATAATGATCAGCAAACTGCTCAATACTAATCTCTGCTAAAGCTAATCTAAGATTTAATTACTCATTGTGTCATTAAAATTGCGATTGGTCAGTGCCAGTGCCTGAGGTAAGAAAAAAAAACGGAGATTATCATCTCATAGACCTACCTGACATGATTTGTTTCAATATAATTTGATTTGTATGAAAGTTTTGATAAGTTAAAGACAACATGTTCTGTTTATTAATGATATTTGCTGGGAGATGCTCTTTAAGCATATAACTTTTTAACCCTGTGATTTGTAGCTTGGATTTAATTGTTTCCTCTTTGCTATGAGGGTATATTTAGTAACTGAATTCGAAACCAAATAATTTATATTATTCGGTAGTGTACGATGGGTCTCAAATTAATGGGGGAGGGGGCTTACTTGGAGGACGAAGGCGTAGGAATGGGTGTGGTTATGTAGGGGTAACCCCGACCTTTCCATCCAAATTTATAAGGAAATGTTTCCCAAAATTTCTTTTCTTTCCTAATTTTGTTTAACCCTCTCTTTCCCCCTCTTCCCCCTTTCTTCCTTTTCTGCATCTGTTCGTCGATCTGTCTCCCTTTCCCCTCTCTCTCTCCGTCTCTCTCTTTCTCTCTCTCTCTCTCTCTCTCTCTCTCTCTCTCTCTCTCTCTCTCTCTCT